GCACCTAAAATGAATAAGGTCGGAGATAAAGGATAAGCCCTCTAGTGGAATGGAAAAATCCATGTCACCAATCATTATTCATGATTCTCCATACTCTATCAATGAATATTTTCCCAAAACCCATCCTTCTCAAAACTAGACAAGTATAAGACCAAGATACTTTATCATATGCTTTGACCATGTCTAATTTAATGATCACATTAGCACCTTCATTAGATTGTTTAACACCATGAATTATTTCTTGAGCCAACATTATTTTCTCAAAAATACTCCTACCTCTTACAAAACCAGATTGATTAAGTAAATAAGGTTAGGTAAAATAGGATCTAACCTAGTGCTCATTATTTTTGAAATGATTCTATTAGAAAAATTACTAAAACTAATAGGTCTATAGGCCTTATGCTTATTAGGATGTTCTGTTTATGGAAGCAGATTAGACAAGAATGAGTTATGTGTTTAGGCATATCTTGACCACTAAAGAAAAGATTGAAATGGAGCAAGTAAATCAAACTTAATTATTTCAAAGCAGATTTGATAAAAATTTACCTCCTATACCATCCAGACCAGGAGCTGATATGGGGTTCATTTCAAAACTAATTTTCTTAATTCTTCCATTGTAGGCATGCTTTCTAAGATTAGGTTCATGAGTAACCAGATTTGGAATGCATTGTAAAATCTCTTCAATTATTCTATTGTTATTAACAGTGAAGATGTTTTGAAAATAATTGCATGTTTCTCTAGCAATTATCATCATCATCCCCTGTACCCAATCTCCTGACTCTGTTAATATTTCATGCATAAGCATTCTTCTCTTTTTCCCTCTTAAAACAGCATGAAAAATACTTAGAGCTTGTGTCACCCTCTTTTAACCAATGACTCTGGCTTTTTTGTTGTAACAGGGAATATTCAATTGTCCTGAGTATTAGCATTAATCATATTATCCTCATCTTTCTTTACTAAATCCTCATATTCTTTTATTTTTGCAAAAAATATCTCCAAACTTATTCCTTGACCAAACTCTTAAAGTGGTAGATAATCTCTTCATTTTAGTGTGAAAAATCCACCTAGGGTTACTAGTTGCTTTTCTTTTCCAGCAGCTTTCCACATTGACTAAAAAAGAAGAATTTTCAGTCCAATAATTAAGAAATTTAAAGTATTTGATTACATCTAATACTCATTTCAAGCAATAAAGGACAGTGGTCTGATCCAACTGATGTTAAATGATTGATAGTAGTTTGGGGCATTTTATCTAATCACTTATGATTTACCAAAGCCCTATCTAATCTTTTCCACATTCTAGCCCCTTCATCTCTTTGATTACACCAAGTAAAAGGCTGGCCATTATATCCTATATCCACTAATCACATGATTCAATACTACTAATAAATTCAGAACTCTTGTTCATGTTATATTCCCTACCTCCTAATTTCTCATTATAGATGAGATAACATTAAAATCACCAATTACACACCAAGGCAAATTAGTATCAGTATAATGTAACAACCTATCTCATAAGGGTCTCCTTAAGCAATCTTAATGTTAAGCATACACATAAGTGACTAGAAAAATATTTGTACAGTCTAAATGATTGATTTCACAAGTAACGTGTTGATCATGCACTTCCACTCCTTTATATTTTACGTCACAAGTCCAAAATAACAAAATTTTATTATTGACATTGCAATGAACATGACCAATTTGTAAATGACTGATAATTGATTCAATCGGTGACTAATGTGCAAAAGGTTCCAACATATTAATCATAGTCAAATTATGCAGTTTAAGGTTTTGTAGTCTTTCCAAAGCACCTGGAGTATTTATACTCCTAGAATTCCAAGATATGTCTCTAATCATCAAACACCTCTACTCCTAGCCCTAGTGTGTGGTATGTTAACACTATTAGTTTTATTTTTCCTAGATTCTTTTCTACTTCTAGGAGATAATCCATGCTTTTCAGTAACTTTCGGCACCTCTTCAAGATTGTTACTGTGTAGCCAAGGTCCCTCTGAGGTTATTGATCTGTGTTAGTTTCTTGGTTAGACTCATCACCCTCCTCTATGGATTCAATATCTTCACCATACTTTTCCTTTCAGAATTGGGTGCGCCATACTCATCAAAGTCATCACCCTTTTCTGTCTCAACAGAATCATGACCTTTTTCTTTGAGTAGTGTTTTCTTAGTTGCTTCTCTTTTCTTTTTACTTATTCTCAATTGTGATTTATTGTTATTAGGTTTATCAGGTGGTTCGTTGCCTTCAATGTTAATGTGTTGACCATCAACATCGTTCACTTGATCTATCTTTCCTTTCCCTTTGGATAACTGGACCTCACTTATATTTTCTTCGGACCAGTTCCAACCTCACCTCCATCAGTTACACCAATATTTTTAATATTACATTTAATAACGGTGTAGGGGTTGGGAGCATTGAGTCAATATCTGAGTTGATTGCATCAGGTACTTTTAAATTTTTTTTTATCACTGGTAGCCGTAGCATCCCTTCTGATATCATGAGTTTCCCCCATCTATTGCTCTGTAACTTGTTCCCTGTTAGTATTCCTTCTTTCCATCACTACATGTCTCTGCTGTTGATTTTGATTTTTAGAACCACTTGAAGTATGAGTAGTATGCCTCTCCAATTCTTCAGGAATTAATGACTGTTCCTGCACTCCCAAATCCATATAAGTATTTTAAGTAGTACTACTATTTATACCTTTTTGTATATTATGTGACTGAACTGTCGATTTGTCTGGCAGTTATTGTTGTTGATTAGCATTTTTCCTCCTTTGCATCTGCCATGGTTCTTCTTGATGAATAGGTCTTTGTTATTGTTCGCTTGAGATAGTATGCTGATACTATCATCCTCCATTTTGCATGCTGGATTAAACTCATGTACTTGCAATTCTTTAGGGAACATTGTCTTTTTTTTGCTTAACTTTTTTCCATCTCTTTTTTTCTTTTGTTATCTTCATGTCTTTGTTTGATTATACAATTAATTTCCTTATGTCCTTGATGTTTACAATAAAAGCAATAATCAGGAATGTTATCATATTCAATTTTCTGCCACCTCCCATCAGTGATGTCCTCCCCAATATATCCCATCCAAATATGAGGAGGTCTACCTTTGGTGAGATCTACTTGAACTTTAGCTTGAGGTGAACTACCCCTAGTTTTATTAATAGAAGTTGAATCTACATAAGGGACTCTCCCTATAGGTTAAAGCAAACTAGTGATGAATTCTTTAGTAATAGCAATGCCATGGTAACTCAGTCAAGGAAATCCATATTGGGACAAGAGGAGTTTGTTCATGTGGCTTAACTTGTCCAGCTATAGTCATCCTTTGTTTGGTCCAAACCATATTGTAATCTAGCTCATTATCAAGATCAATATAGACAAGTCTAGAATTTAAATGTGCTATGTAAACTCCCCAAAATAATTGAGTTTGAAGAATAAAGTTCTTCCTAATAAGTTCCAGTCTAGGCACTGTGTTTACGAATTTACCAATTAAAGTGAACTTACAAGAAGAAGCCAAGTCTTTAACAATTTCTTTTTTTCACATAGAGAATAGCAGGAAGCCCTTGTTTAGTAGTGATTTCTGGTTCAGTTAGATTAATACGAATTTCGTTTTTTAACTGATTAAATCTAAGCATATCAGCATAATTTTGTATGACAGTATAAGGCACAAGTTCTGGAGTTTGGTCTTTCTTTTGAAAATTAGCAACATTAGCAGGAGTTTGTTCCATTCTATTAGTAGCAGCTTTAGTCACATTACGCTCAAAATTCGTAGAAATTTTAGGAAAATGTTTTTGATAATTAGTCTCATTCAACTTGTTATCTTGCACACCTAAATCCTTAAAATTTCTAGCATTAACATTCAATTCACGATTGACATTAGTAGTAAATGTAGATATAGTATGTTGAACTCAATGAGCAGTAGAAATCCTTTGTGTTTTTGAAGGATTGAATGGTTCTTGAACATCAAGATTACCTACTTTGTTCATTTGTGTTGATTATCCATGATGTTTAATGGGATGAACTGACTTGTTGAGACTTGTTTGAGCTTGATTTTCCTCCCTTAGCTGTTCTTATTCAAGTATTTTTCCTATATTGTCAGCTTCTATTAGGCTTTTAGCAGATTTGTCCTCAAAGGGGAATAAACCCCACCCACATTTTTCCCTTGAATATTATCCAAGATAGATTGATTTTACTCTCTATTTTCCGTAGAATGTATCCCTTCCCTTGATTGTGAACTTCGCGCTGCTGAATCAATATCTTTTAGACCGCGATTTTCAGGCAAATTTATCCCTTCATTTGATTGTGAGCTTCACACAGCTGAATCACAAAGTTGAAGACCGTGATGCATAGAAGAAGTAGATTTTTTACAGAGATTCAGGTAATATCATCACGATTCCGGTTAACATCGACCTTTCCGCCAAATTTTTGAACCGATTCCATAGAAACATCTTCGTCCCTCATATTGTTGATTCGGTGTGCAATTCAATTGCCCTGTGTGTGGAGGCTTAAATCGATTATCCTTCTCCATTCTACACTCAAAATCACACGAATTAACTAACCAAGATGCTAATTTGTGAGAGAAATTTGGAAAAAGTTTTTAGAGCTTCTTAAGGTTTAGGGTTTAGGATTATGGTTTTCGGTGTTTTGGGCTTGGGGTTTAGGGTTAGGGTTACGATTTAGTTTTTTTTATAATTTAGGTTTTACAGTTTTGGGTTTAGGGTTTAATATCTATGATTTAGTGTTTAATGTTTGGGGAGTTTTCGGCTTGGTTTTTTTTTTTGATTGGAACGACCCTTGTGGTGGGTCAGGGGTTGAGCAACACCGCGAGGCCTTATCATTTATTAAAATAAAAAATACATAGAGGGGGCATAAACCTTACCTTTGATCCTAAGGTGGGAAATGAGTCGATCAACCTACTAAGGTTATTCAACTCCATCCCGATACGTCAAGTTGTATTCAAAAGAAACTAAGCACCTATGGAGGACTCCTCCATAATACAAAGTTTACTGAGAATACATAAACGAGGGAGACTCTCCCCTTTACAAGATAAGTCTGTAAAAGTAAAATTACCTATTCTAATAACTATATAAAAAATAGGCATAATCATTATGACTAGGATGTATAAAAGTATGTATCTTACACATTATACAACATGTAAAACATAACGAAATTGATAAACAAGTACTGTAAATCATAAACAGACCATTCACTCTACTTATAACATCAGAAGCCTCTACTTCTAGATCTTGTGATTGGTTTATTAATATTTTCAGAATGAAGATTATGTCTTGTAATCTTCCTTCCTCTTGGTGACAGCCCTTGTTTGTCTTTAACTTCTTGTATTTCTTCATCATAATCAGTGTGGAAGGTTGATTTAACCTCTTCTTCATCTTCATTATTGTCTAAAGATCGAGTATCTTCATCATACTCATCCTCCGACGCTATATGACTATATTCATCCACTTCTTCAACTCTCTCTTGTTGTTCTTGCTGTTCAATTTCAATCCTTGTGTCATGCTCCTTCTCTTGTCTTTTTTTTGTGCATCTCTTCTTTTCTTGCTCAGTCTTGTATTTGATTTGTTGTTACTGGTTTGAGGAGAACTTTCTTCAGCCTTTTTTTTAATCTCCTCACCAAGTTGCTGCCTTGTGTTGCTATCTGAAGGGGACTGTGTTTCAACTGAGGTTTGATCACCATAACCCTGTCGATGCAGACTTTCACTTCCTTCTAAATCTACACAAATTTATTAGTCTCACAAATAATAGGAGTCTGTTGTGATGTATGAAGAGGTGGACTCTTACCTGGTATATCTGTTACATTTTGCACATTAACTACATTAATTCTTACATGGCCTGCATGGACTGTATGACCTGCATTGTCTGTTGGTTGTAAACTACGATCTGCCTGCACATTTTTGGCTGCAGAACTGCTCATATCCAGCTGGTCTAATATAATTGTATCATGTTCCTTCATATGCTGCTGCATTTCTCCTAAAATATTTCTGCCTGGACTACATCTTTGGCTGCTGTAACTTCTGAATTTTCATGCCTTCTTTTGCTTCTTGCATGCTAGTTTCCAGTTGAACTGTACCCTGTTCCTGTGTATCTAGATCAATATAAGTGTTAGAAGTAGGAACAATACATGTTATACCTGCTTTTTCTATAACGTTGCCCTCTATTAAAACTTCTGGCTGTTGTAATTCCTTAGCTTTCCATGCAGTCTTAGGGACCTGTTCTTGCTTCTTAGTTTGTTTTGTTTTCTGATTGCCATTCATCTCCTTAAACTGGTATTTCATGAGTCTGCTGTATTGATGGTGTGTTACCTGCAGGGTGTTCTCCTTGCTGCAATAGAACTGGAACATTACCAGATTTGTGTTCCGCATTCGTCTTACTTTATTGTGCAGCTTCCAACTCCTTTTTTTGATATGATTCCTCATCCCTTAATTTGTCTGTATACTCCTCTATCATGTGGCCTTGGTGCTTTCAATAAGGACAATAAGCCGGTAAGTTCTCACATTCAATACTTTGCCACTTACCTTTACTAAGATCTACCTCATCATAACCAAGCCACACATGCTTAGGTCTATCCTTTGTGAGATCAAGTTGGATTCTAACTCTTGCCATTCTACCCCTTGTTTTATTAACTGTAGCATTGTCTAAATATAATACCTTACCAACAGGAGATAGCATAGCAGTAAGTATTTCCTTATAATAACAATGCCAAGGAAGCTCCGGAAGAGAGATCCAAACAGGTACAATAGGTGTTTCCTCACCCCTCAATAATCATTCGTTGCTTGGTCCAAACTGTTACGGAATCTAGTTCATTATCCAAATCAATGTAGACATGCCTAGCATTGATGTGTGCAATTTTAACTCCTCCGGATAACTGAGTTTTGTTGATAAAGCTCTTTCTAATCAGCTCAACTCTAGGCATTGAGCTACAGAACTTGCCAATTAAAGTAAACTTCACCTATCAGGAAACTTATCATAAAGTCTTCCTCACTAAAAATTACAGCAGGTCAACCTTGTTTAGTGGTTATTTTAGGAGTTGCAAACAATATAGGATCAGCAGTTTTAGCTAAATTACATCGAAGACTAGTAGCATATGATTGAATATCAGTATAAGGTGCAGGTTGTTGCATACCAGACTGTTTTTGGTGATCCTTAGTTGGTATAAGCTCTTTTTGTCCCTTAGGATTAGCCTGACTGTTATGCCTAACAAAATTGTTAGAAATTTGAGGATGTTGCTGAGGGTTCTTAACGTTATTCCTATCATTTTGTCTAGAATTCTAACCCCATTCCCACTACTATCAGCTACAACAATATCAGTATTTTCCACAGCATTCACAACATTCTTATTCTGATTACTATAATGAATTTCAGGAATTGCAGTGATACATTACTGAGTTGTTTCGGTATTTGTAATTGCAACTCCATCTTGTAAGCTTACTGCAGCATCAGACTCCTGTCTTTGTTGAATATCCGATGCAGCTCCAAGAACCTGTTCATGTCTTTGATTTTCAAGTATAAGAAACGACTGTCCATCCTCCCCTGCTTCTTTGGTGATTTTTGAACTGCCCTGTTCTGCGAGTTTGGAAAATGAACTACTGCCTATTTCCAACATCGATTGAACAGCTGCTTCAACTATAATTTTCCGATGCTTGTGTAGAATTGTTTCTTGCAGCTGAATATCAGTAAAGTAGAATTGTCTGGGTTAGAAATATCAAGATTTACCTTAGTATTAGCACCTTCAATTCCGGGACTACTTCTTTGATACGCTTCTTCACCAATGGTGATCGGAGCTCCGGCGCCGCCAATTGAACTTTCTAGATTACCAGTTCCTACACCGATTTGCTTCTATTTTATAATATGTTGTACGCCCTGATAAGGAGAACAACCCCAATACTGGGATTCACATTTACTACATTAGAACTAGATCAATTTTTAGATCGCTCGGCAATGGATACTCGATCCACCACCAACTTATTATACAGAAAGTTATCAACAATCAGATAGAACTAACGCAATATGAAATAGTAGATTAAATAAAATTGGATATCAAAACCAATAAACGAACAATATAATTTCTTAAATCTAGATTGTGTTACACATATAAATAAAACAATATTACTATGGATAGGAAATATATCTAAGCAACTAACAGATAACAAAATAAAAATAACAGAAACACCAAGATATATAGAAAGAACATTTGTAGGAACAACAAGATTATGGATAGAAAATCTACCCTCAGAAAGTTTAGAAGTACTTAGAAGTGACAAGAAAATGGATGGATCCCCATCAGCAACAAATATAGATATACTAGATAAATATGAATCAGCAATAAGAAATGAAATTGGTGGTATGACCACAGATATAAGACGCACCGACTTTTCAGCAGAAAATGAACATGTTGCTGTAGATTTCCTTCCTTAATTCAATAGAACCTGTAGCGAACCAGAATTCGCCATCACCATTATTCGCCTTGCCCAGTCCTATTCCACCTCTGAAATTGTGACAAGAGTCGCTTCTTCATGTCGCGAATTCGCAGAACTACCTGATGAATTTGTGTCATCTTCTTGAGCTTGTGTATCAGTGTTAGAATGATAAGAATATTGATCCTTATAAGGTGGCCGGTACTGCTCCACCGGCGGTGAATTCGCCATTCCAATGAGTCGCAAGAACCAGCTGCTAAAGTTGGACGCAAGAATCAGTTGCTAGAGAGAATTTTTGGTATTTTGGGTTTAGGTGTTTTTTAGTTTTAGGGTTTATGTATTAGTGGTTCGGGTTTATGGCTTGGGGCTTGGGTTTAGAGTTTAGGATTTAGGGTTTAGGGTTAGGGTTTAGGTTTTCTTTTAGCTTTTAGAGCTTGGGGTATAGGATTTGGGGTTTAATATCTACGGTTTAGTGTTTAATGTTTGGATTTTTGTGTTTTGGGCTTGGAGTTTAGGGTTTAGCTTTTTAGGTATAAGGGTTTGAGGTTTAATACATATGTTTTAGTGTTTAATGTTTGGGTTTTGGTGCTTGGGGTTTATAGTTTAGGGTTTAGGGTTAAGGATTCAGTTATTTTTTAAGTTTTAGGATTTGGGGTTTAATATCTATATTTTAGTGATTAATGTATGGCTTTTGGTGTTTACGGTTATGTGTTTTGGGTTTAGGGTGTCATACCTAACCCTAGGTGAGGCGGACAAGTACTATATGAATACATGCTTTACAAGTCATCAATGATGAGAAGTGCTACTACTATGCAAATATATTTACTAATGAGAAACTTTATATACAACACAAGTTGACTAGCTGAAAGGATATATATGATAAGCGAAACTATGAATACAGATGATAGCTTTACAATGTCTACAAAGCCTCTATTGAGATTCATGGTTGTACCACTATGAAATACGCATACTAAAGACTCGGCAAAGTCTAAAATCAACCTGGAGCTCACCAACAACCACTGAGTATCATGTGCTTCTATTGGAGAGATCTACTAGTTGAGTACATGTACTTGCAGCATGAAATGCAGCGTCCAAATAAGGAACATCAGTACGAAAAATATACTGAATATGTATGGCATAACATAACCATATGTAAAATGAGATCTCAAGTGAAACCAAATAATACCAATATATAAGGATTATAGACAACCTTTGCTTATACTTATAGAATCATGTAGGTTACATTCTTTTCTTTACTTTTCTGTGCGTTATAATTTTTCTAAGACATATAATACAAATGACCAGCTAGGTTTTTGCCCCTGCGCTGCCACCCTTCCACATCAATAGGGAACGGCCCATGCTAGGCTTTCGCCCCTGAGTTGTCATACTTCTATATCAATTGGGATCGTCCCATGCTACGCATTTTCCCCTGGGTTAAGACCCATAATTATACATATAACTTCACTTAGATTCTTTAATCTTTGAGATTCTTGTTTAGATGTTCATAAATCTTTTGAGATTGTTCTTTTGATGTTCATAACTCGTTTGTGATTGTTGTTTTTGTGGTCATACTCCTTGTTTAGATTGGGAACTATGGACTAGTAGTAGAAGACATATAATATGGACTTACGATAATGACAGTGACATGGAAATTAATTGTGACACCAAAGTAATATTAGGACCTTATATGACTCGGTAAGCATTTTGACATCTCAAATTGAAGCACATCAAGTGAAGAGATTTAACATTCAACCAAGAGATTTGAACTCTATATGATTCTTACTTACTAATATCAACTATGTTCATTAATGTTGAATCAAGTTCATTAATGTTGAATCAAGGGGGAACGTGAGCAGATTCAACTTAAGGACGGATACATATTCCAAGCAAGTAAATATAAGATGGACAATAGAGCAAGTAGGGATTCTATGAGGTAACATTATAGTCTGACACAATGGGAGTAATAACCAATAAAGTAAACACATGAACATGTGAATAAATTACATATACGATGAAATAGACAATTGAGGCAACTTGGCAAGATATGGGCAAATCGTATATCCAACATATAAACATATGTACCATGTGTAATCTAGGATCACTTTGATTTATATAAGTGAAATATGTGTCAGGGGTACTTGTACATCAAAACGCCTAAAAAATTCTCAAACTACACTAATGACTTATAATATCAGGAAAATGATCAAATTTTACTCTTTTTGTAACTATTTTAAAAATAATGAAAACTTTATTTTTTCCTCGTAAATGTACGAAACATAAAAAAATCAAGAAAAGTACATCAAAAAACCTCTAAAAAAATCTCAAACTGCATCAATGACCTTAGAATATCAAAACATAAAAATTATCAAAATTATACTATTTTTCATAATTGTTCAAAAAATTATAAAAAAAATTATTTTTCATCGTAAATGTACGAAACATACAAAAAATAAGGAAAAGTACGTCAAAACACCTCGAAAAATTCTCAAACTGCACCAATGAACTTAAAATATCGAAACAAAGAAATGGTCAAAAATTAACTCTTTTTTTAACTGCCCGAAAAATAACAAAAAATTAATTTTTTCCTCGTAAATGTACGAAACACGTAAAAAATAAGAAAGATACATCAAAAACCCTCAAAAATGTCAAACTACACAAATAACCTTAGAATATCAGGAAAAAATGATTAAAATTTCTCCTTTTTTCATAAATTTATGAAATTAACAAAAAAAATTAATTTTTACTCGTAAATGCACCAAACATATAAAAACAAGAAAAGTACATCAAATACCTCAAAAAGATGTCAAAATGTACCAATGACCTTAGAATATCGAAATGAAAAAATGATCCAAATATTATTATTTTTTTGTGACTGTCCGAAAAATACCAAAAAAAAAAGATTTTCCTCATAAATGTACGAAACAATAAAAATCAAGAAAAGTACACCAAAACATCTTTATAAATTCTTCAACTGCACTAATGACCTTAAATTATTGAAACAAAGAATGAATTTTTTTTTACCTTTTTTATAATTTTCCAATTAATAACAAAAAATATTTTTTTCTCATAAATATATGAAACATATACAAACAAGAAAATTACATCAAAATACCTCAAAAATTCTAAAACTTCACCAATAACCTTAGAATATTGGGGAAAAAATGATCAGAATTTTACTCTTTTTTGTAACTATACGAAAAATTAAAAAAATATTTTTCTTCATAAATATATGAAACAATAAAATTCCAAGAAAAGTACACCGAAATGCCTCAAAAAATTCTCAAACTACAACGATGTCCTTTGCATATCGATAAAAAAATGAAAATAATTTTATGCTTTTTTATTATTGTCCGATAAATAACAAAAAAAATTTAATTTTTCCTAGTAAATGTATGAAACATATAAAAATCAAGAAAAGTACATCAAAACATCTCAAAAGATTCTCAAACTGCACCAATGACTTTAAAATATCGAAATAAAAAAATTAACAAAATTTAACTCTTTTTCACAACTATCCAAAAAAATAACAAAGTTTATTGTTTCCTCGTAAATGTACAAAACATATAAAAATCAGGAAAAGTACATCAAAAGACCACAAAAAAGTCTTAAACTGCACCTATGACCTTAGAATATTGAAACCAAAAAGTAATTAGAATTTTACTCTATTTCATAACAGTCCAAAAAATAACAAAAAAAATTAATTTTCCTCGTAAATATACAAAACATATAAAAAAACTAGAAAAGTACATCAAAACACCTCAAAAAATTCTCAAACAGCGCCAATTAACTTAGAATATAAAAAATGATCTAAATTTTACGCTTTCTCATAACTATCCAATAACAACAAAAAAAATAAATTCTCGTCAATGGACAAAGCATATATATATATATATATATATATATATATATATATAAAGTACATCAAAATACCTTAAAGATTCAAAAACTGCACCAAATGACCATAGAATATTGATACAAAAAAATTATAAAATTCTTAATCTTTTTCGTAACCGTCTAAAAATAAGAAAAAAATTAATTCTTCCTCGTAAAAGTATGAAATATATATAAATAAAGAAAATTACATTAAAACACCTCAATAATATTTTGTAACTCCATCTATGACATGAGAATATCGAAAAAAATCAAAATTTTTTACTTTTTTTGGTTGGATTGGGGGGGGGGGGGCGGTATAGGAGATAACATAAAATGATTATTTTTTTAATTTGAAATACCGAAATAATTTATTTCAAAAATTTTTTGATACAGGATCAAGGAGGGGGTGTAAAAATGATTTTTAAAAAATTTAAAATATTTTTCTAAAATAATTATTTTTAAAAAAATATTTTGACAGAGGGTGTCCTGGGTGGGGTGGAGGGAAGCGTAGAAATTATTATTTTTAAAATTTAAAATATTCATCTAATTTTTTTGTGGGGGAAGGTGCGGGATTGAGTGAGGTAAAAAAAATCTTAAAATCTGAATTTCTATTCAAAAAATAATGTTAATGTTTTTTGTTTGGGAGAGGGGGCTGGTTTGGGTGTAAGGGTAAAAAGTATTTGAAATTTTAAAAATAAGAAAAAGTATTTAATTTTTTTAAGATGGGAAGGGTCGGGTACCGAGGTTAAGAAAAAAATATTGAGTGATGAAGATGAGTTTTGAAAAATATTTTTCTTAATTTT